AAAGGCCAAGGGCTAGACCTATTCTGATAGCAAATAGAGGTGAAATGAAAGTTGAACAACCTCGAGGGATCAAAGAGAAATTTATGCATTAATACTGTATGCCCAGTGGATAAAATATATGAAAATGCAATCTGCAAACACATGCAAGACGGGAGACAGCAACAAGTTCCCAAACAATACATCTACTATGAATTATGACACATTCTTCTATATCTCCATGTCCCCTTAATTTGATCAAATACTAAATAATGTCTGATGGGATATATTACAATACTACTGTTTTTAAGCCATCATTCAGAAGTTAGACACCATTAACTTCAACTTGCAGATCTTCCTATAGTGGATGTATTTGGTATATCTATTATGTGCCAGGAGCACTAAAAATTAGAGAAGATTAGGGCACAATAAACAATATTTTCAAACTGTATCACGTGTTAGCTGTGCTTTTGTTTGATACGATGTTTGCAAGTTTAAGAGATTCAACTCCTGTGGCAAGTTACTGACAAGAAGACATATCCAGGTACAAACTATCATATCACATTCTTTGATGATTCCACCCACTTCTATTCGTTTCACAAATTGCTACAAAATCCTCCTTGAAATGAGAAATCATCCAAACCCCACCGAAATAAGCACATATTGACAACAGACTCTATTTGTTTTTGGTCCGTCAACATCTTGTGTGTTATTTGGGAAGAAAGGTGTCGTGTTTCCCAGTACAGAAAACTTTGGCACCAGTAACAGCAGAGGACATTTTGCTCAACGGAATGGGGTGATACGTACCATGTTTCTGTCTAGATTCTGATGAAACCTGAGAAGGTTTATGAAGCCTTTTAGTTGCATGATAACCAATTAGTCCACAGTGATAATCCCTGTCAAAATCAAATCATAAATACATAAAATCAATCAAGCAACAAATAAACATTCAATTAACAAGAATCACACAAAGAACAAGGAAAAAGGGCATCCAGAATGATAAACAATAGTAATCAATTTGAGAAGCTAAATAGACAGTTATCATTTCCTTGCTTAAGAGAGAAATCCATGCATAGAATGTAAAATGGCCGTCCAAGACAGTTGGGATTCAGCTCATTTTCTAAACAGCAGTTTATTGGTGTATAATCCATGTGGAGAAGTTAGATAAACTGGCTGCCCAGGAATAGGAGCGATACAACTCAGTGCTAAACAGCAGTTTGTAGGCGTAGAGTTCTTTAAGTAATAGCCTACCAGTACTCCCATGTCATCTCCTTTAATCGGTTCTCGAGCTTTTGAAAGAGGGGTGTTTTCTCGAAGTCCTGTTTATTATGAGTTGGCTGAATAAAGTTTGCTTCTAGAACACCTAAAAAGGCAGGTAAATTAGTTAGAGCCTTTTCCAGCTAGTAGTGGACCAAAAGAATAAAGCACCACAAGTAGAGAAGAAATGTCCAAAGAAATGCTTCATAGGCTCCTTACCTACAATCCCTCTGCTTCTTGTGGTAGAAGAGCCTGCCACATTCCAAAATGGCTGCAAAGAAATGAATGGAAATTTTTTAAGACAAGACGTAGGCTCTAGATATCATTTACAGTAAAATCTGTTATTGCAGAAGATAACTAAGCAAAAGGATATAAACACAGTGCAAAAAAGTGTATACTTGTCCGAAGACCAGGTTTAATGCAGAATATATATTTAGCGTCAGTTCATAAAGATAAGAGAGGAGAAAAGAGATGGAAGGAAAAATTGAGAAGGCTTACAAAAGGTATGTTTAAGGGAAGCTAAGGTATATGGAGGAATACATAACTAAAAGCGTAATGGAACTAATACTGAAACATTGTTTCAGACCCACAGCAAACAGTTTCCCTTTAGAAATCCTTTTCCCTCTATCCTCCATATCAATTAGGTTCAAATTACGAAACTATCTCATCTCATCCATTTTCCTTCTCTTCCTTTTTTTCTTTTTCTTTTTCATCAAATTATTTGAGTCCTGATAGACTCTGAAGGTATGGATATCTGGTTTATAACTATGCAAAACAATTTTGTAGTAACACAGGTGGAATATTTACCATTTTATCGTTTTATGCATATCAATGTCGGTCACTATCAGGTCCTAGAGTCAACCTCAAAAGCTGTGTCTTTTAAAAGCGCAAAGTGGCTTCTGGAGAAGTGGGGAAATTTCTGAAGGTGCTAGATGAGTCAAAGTACCATTTACAAAATCAAAACATTGGATAGAGCAACACACCAGTATCAAACGATTCCTGTGGTAGACATTGAAACCATGAATATTCACCAGTGGAGCTTCCTTTAGGAAGCCAATGGAAGTAATGATGGAACCCTGGAAAGAATAAAGAAATATAACAGTTAGGAATCTTAAAGAGGGAGAAGGGGGAAGCTGCTGAGTGTTATTAGAAAAATCTGAAGCTTTATAGCAAAAAATTGCACTATGCAGCTCTCTAAAAATACCATTTCTAATACCCTAACTACATCCTCCATTTAGTAAGTTTGACTCAACTTACCTTTTTTATCCTTTATATGAAGGGAAAAGTTATATTAATGTATTAACACAAAGTACCCCCTTTACACAGATTTATACATTTTTTCCAGAAATTATAGTATGTGTGAGTGTGTCCATATATTATGCTTGTTAATCGGTCTCTTTTTAATCATAAGCAGATCAAAGGAAGAAATGGGCTTGCACTAATATACTGTTCTGACAAATAAAATAGAAGAGAAGAGCAGGCTCTGATCAATGTTATCAATCTTTACAGTACGTCTGAGAAAGAGAGAAACTAGTGCAAACCTCTTTGCATCCACCATTTTGAGGTTTGTACACGATAAATTCTGGATACTTGAGATCTCTAGCAATGTTATGATACTCTACAATCCGTCCGCGCAACCATATGCAAAAGTTTTCAGGGATTTGCAAGTACAGGACAGATAGATATGCCTGTTTAGAAGAAGAATACAACATTGTTAGAAATCAGGGATCTCCTTGAATGAAGAAACTTCAAGTGCATCTTGTTCATTAAAGAACTTACTCGGAGTGAATACTGAAGAGTGTTGGCAAGATGCAGGTCACTTACTGACGTGCTGGAGCAACTTTTACCACTTTCTGCATCACAAGAGATACGAATATCCTGCAATTATTGTAGTAGAAGTCATATTATGGTAAATAACAGTGCAAGAGATTCCAAATGGGAAAATTAAATCAGATAAAGAAATCAAACCTCAGGATCTGACTGAAAGTCAAGCTCCATTTTGCCTTCATTATTTAGCCACAAATTGTAGATTATGATCCTACTCCCATGATCACCAATGTCATCCAACTGTTGTGGGAAAAGAATAGTTGGTTATAGAAAAGGTATATCAACAGTTGGAACACAGGAAGAAGAATCAAATAGACATAATGCATCTGGCAATTAAGGATGACTTTTGCCACAAAATTTAAAGGATCTCTCAGTTATGCATCAGAGATTCTCTGCTCACATGCCCTTGCAGTCCCAGACACCCTTCCCCATTTTAACTTGAGCTCTTTTCCTCACATGTCAAACTCCAACCTTATATATTCTCCATTAGTATTCAGACAGAAAATTTCCTTTTTCTAGAATGATAACAGTATCAAGTAACCTCGTCAGGACATAATACAGACAATGTTTTATCTAATCACGATAGGTCCAGCTGTCCAGGAAACTTTAACATGGTAACAAAATCAAACACTCCAACACCTCAAGAGAAAAAAAAAAGAAAAAAGAAAAAAGAAAAAAAGGCAAAACGGCTTATTTAATCTAATACATCTGGTCAATGGATCAGGTAAGTAGTTAAAAAGTTCATTCTGATGAGGTGCTTAGAGATGAAGAATAGTCCACTGATAGAATAGTTAAGTAACTAGCCCTAGGTAACTTTCAGATGTGAAGAGCTTAAAAAGACGAAGATTCTGAGTATCCAACCACCAGGGCATCCTGAATTTTGAAGCAGCAAATGTAGAAGATTCCACAACACTTTTCATCAATGACAAGAAAGCATGTGTTTAGATGGCAGAAACTTCAACACTACAAAAAGCAAAAGCAGTTTCATTTGGGTTTACCTCCCACTCTTTTGACTTTTAATTCTTTCATATGCCATGAGAAACAGCATCATCTTCTCAAGATCTTTTATTATACTCCCTCCGTTTCAATTTATGTGAACCTATCTCCTTTTTAGTCCATGTCAAAAAGAATGACTACTTTCCATATTTGGAAACAATTTACCTTTATACAATGATTTATAGCCACACAATATATATGTGCCTCATTTTTTTTTTGATAAGGATAAGGATGCCTCATTTTACACCACAAGTTCAAAAGTCTTCTCTTTTTTCTTAAACTCTGTGCCCAGTCAAATGGGTTCACATAAATTGAAAGGGATATCTAATTTATGCATTAGATGTTCCCCTACTCGCATGGCCTCGCATTCCACCCCACCAACCCCTCACGCTTGAGCTCTCTCTTACATGTCAAACTCCACGCTGCCAAATTTCCCTTTAGCATTCAAAAAAAAAAAAGTTGGCCCTTTCTAGGATGATAACATTGGCTATTAACCTTGTCAGGATATATTATGCGTAATGTTTTATTTAATTAAGAAGAGACAAATTGATGCAGTTTTAAACTCACTTGCTTAAGAAGGGCTTCCTCCGTTGAAAATGGAGACCACTGCAACATCAACGAGAGGTTATTCACAAAATGCTGTTCAGGGCAGATTGAATTCCATTTGCCAGTTGTTGAAATGAACTCATATTCAACCTGTATCATATGAACAAAGAAGTTTAAATATTAAAAGAATTAAGGACAAGAGAGGGAGGAAGTGTTAGATGGTTAGAATCATTTGCCTCTTGAACTATGATAAATAACAATTTCTCTCCCTATACTATATTGGCTGGCAATTGACCAGCCACTAAAACATTCTTCAACTTCCAACATTCTAAAATCATTTTCCACCTCAATTTTCACCAAGGCTCAAATTACCCATAACAAATTCTGATTTCATCCCATTTGATTCTAATATTAGTCAATGTAGTTGTTCAGACTCTTATTTTAAATGCATAAACAAAGACATAAATAAAACTGAAAGCAAAGGAGATATGTCTGAGACTCAATGCAAAAGAATATGAAGGGGAATTAGTATTAACATGAAATAACAAACTGATAAACAAATGGAAAGTATAAAAACATTTATAACTTCTGGCTGGAAATTTATAGTTAGACCAATAAAAGCTTACAAATAACCAGGTCATATACACTTTCAACAAGTTTTAAGTTTACTGTTAAAGTTTTTACATCAGTATATAATAGGGAACATCAAATCAAAATATCAATAAAATAAAGATAAAAATTTAGATAAAGTTAAAAAGAAAAAACTATTGGCCCCTTCTGTTTATCACACTCTACTGTCATACCAAACTTCATATTGACCCCCATCAACACCAATTCCATCTCGCTCTTTAACATTTCATCACTTATTTCTAGCAATTAATAAAAGAAAGCTGCAAAACCCAAAAGCCCAAACAGTATTATTGGATTTTAGTTGCATGTAAACAAATTGTTTTATCTTGATGATGCAAATTGCATGTAAATAAATTAATACATGAAATAGAATTAAAATAGGAAGTAAATGAATTACCTGTTTAAACCTAGTTATTTCAGTTAATCTTCGCTTTTTGCAAAATTTTCTAAACATAGTCATATTTGTACTACATAAAATTCGTCACCTAGTGTAGTTTTACAAAATTATAAGTACAAGTTCTCATTTATAAATACAATAATCTCTTTTTCATTATTTGTGACAACTATGATTTGATATTTAACAAGTTTTGGGAACTAAAATAAAGGTAAAGTAATTATAAGCGGTAA